CAGAGAGAGAGGGAGTCACAGACTGAAACAGGCTCCAGGCTCTGAGCTGGCAGTCAGCACAGAGCCCGACGCGGGGCTCGAACCCACAAACCGCGAGATCATGACCTAAGCGAAAGTCGGATGCTTAACTGACTAAGCCACCCAGACCCCCCGACCAATAACAGTTTTTAATACAAAACAAGCTTTCAGTAATATCTGTGGAGTGACTGTATGAAGTTTTTCCATCAAAGTATGTTTGATATTTTGTTTGCTGAATCTGGTAAATACATCTGTTTAAAGGAACCAAAGCCTACCCAAGTCACCCCTTGTGACAAAATAGGATGGCTGTAAAGGCCACCCCATTGTATATGGCACACAATATCAGCGATGAAAAATTAATGGAACATATAATCCCAGCAAAAAATGAAATTGAGATGTTTCAGATTTGATAAAGGGGAATTTCCGAAGGATGATGAAACCACCATCCAATACCTGAAATACGGAGCCAAAACTCATTTGGAGAGAGAGCTATGTTGGGAGCGCACTGGCCCTTTGAGAGAGCTGAGGGATGGGTGATGTTTTGGGGGGAGGCAGCTCAGGGAAGCGAGGACGCTCGGGCTGAGTGGGCTGACGAGATCCGTGCAAGTGTGGCTGTTTGGGAGAGGTTGGTTGAGGAGGGGCTCAGCGGCTTGTTTATTGAAGTGAATCCATCTCTGACTGACTCAGAAGGCAGGGGCTGACGTGACTCACGGCCTTGGACACGGTTGTCATTGGTAGATTGAACTCATGGCTACTGGTATGGCTACAGCATAATCGGTCTTTTTTTAAGTTTATTTATTTATTTTGAGAGAGAGTGAGAACGTGTACATGCATGAGTAGGGGAGGGGCAGAGAGGGAGGGAGAGAGAATCCCAAGCAGGCTCTGCACTCTCAGCACAGCCTGGCAGGGGGTTCGAACTCACAAACGGCAAAGACAAAACCAAAACCATGACCTGAGCTGCAATCAACTGAGTTAACCGACTGAGCCCCCCAGGGACCCCGACCAGTCTTCTTCTAAGTTTGTGAGAAGTTTGTGTTTTCAGCATTTTACTTTACCTAATAACAAAATTTCTTCTTTCCTTCCTTCCTTTATTCCTCACTTCCTTCCTTCCTTCCTTTCCTGTTTGTTTATCTTAATATCCAAGTAACGTATAATAATAACGATTTTATCTCTGAGCCTCTGAGTCCGCCTTGGACACAGTGACGAGGTGACTGGCAGAGATGGGGTCAAGGTCACCGTGAGGGATTGGGGAGCGTAGGAATGTGGTCGCTGGCAGGGATGCTCATGACCATGGCGTGCATGACGGTGGAGCTGGAATAAGAAACTGGACTGTGTGGAGCCCATGAGTAGGTAATTTAAAAAAGTGATTTTTATTTTGACCTTTTTGCATCGAATCAACTAGGAATAATTAACTGCTGTGGAAGGTTTATTGCATCTTCTCCCCTCCCTTTATGTGTGGTGTTTTTCACGTGCCCTTTCTTTTGGCTGAGCTGTGGGACTTCTGTTGGCCAGCGCGGCATTAGCAAACTTGACAAAGAGGATTCCTGAATATGCCCTTCACTCTTCCTGCTTGCTTGGTGTGGCTGCTGCCTTTTTAAAGTAGTCTTTATTTTTTAGATTAGTGTTAGGTTCACAGCAAAATTGAGTGGGAAGTTCTCATCCCCCCCCCCGCAACCCACACACAACCTCCCCCACTGTCAATATCCCAAATCACAACAGTACCTTTGTTACAACTGATGAACCGATGCTGACACATTATTATCATCCAAGGTCCGTAGTTTGCATGTGGATTCACTCTTGTTGTACATTCTGTAGGTTTGGGCAAATATATGAGGTTTGTCTACCATCACAGTATCATACAGAATAGTTTCACTGCCCGAAACATCCTCTGTGCTCTGCCTCTTCAGCCCTCTCTCCTCCGTAATCCTGACACCCCCTTCTCTATAGTTTTGCCTTTTCCAAATATCAAAGAATTGAATCACAGAGTATATAGCCTTTCCAGATTGGCTTCTTTCGCTTAGTGATACGCATTGAGGGTTGCTCCATATCTTTTCATTGCTCACTAGCTCATTTCTTTTCAATGCTCTATAATGTTCCATTGTGTGGATATACCATAGTTGACTTACCTACTCACTGAAGAACATCTTCGTTGCTTCCAGAGTTTGGCAATTATGAATAAAGCTGCTATGAACATCTGTGTGCAGGTTTTTGTGTGGACATACATTTTCAACTGATTTGGGTAAATATCAAGGAATGTGACTGCTGGATTGCATGGTTGGTAAGAGTATGTTTAATTTTGCCAGAAACTGCCAAACCGTCCTCCAAAGTGGGTGTGTTCCCGCCAGCAACGTGTGAGAGTTGCTGTTTCTCCACATCCTTCCCAGCGTTTGGGGTTGTCGGTGCTCTGGGTTCGGGGCCTCCTTCCAGGTGTGTGGTGACATCTCGTTGTTGTGTTAATTTGCCTTTTCATATTGACATGTAATGTTGACATGTTTATTTGCCATCCGTATATCTTTTTTTGTAAGATGTCTGTTCAGATCTCTCTTGCCCAGTTTTTAATTGAACTGCTTATATTCTTGTTGAGTTTTAAGAGTTCTTTATATATTTTGGATACTACTCCTCTATCAGTTATGTCTTTTGCAACTATTTTCTCCCAATCTGTGGCTTCTCTTCTTATTCTCTTGACAGTGTCATTTGCAGAGCAGAGTTTTCGATTTTAATATAGTCTAGTTTCTAGGGCCACCTGG